TGACCAGGATGGTCTCGATCTCTTGACCTCGTGATCCACCCGCCTCAGCCTCCCAAAGTGCTGGGATTACAGGCTTGAGCCACCGCGCCCGGCTTGTTTCTTTTATGTAGCATCTTGTAGCATGCATCAGTACTTCATTCTTTTTCATGACCAAATATCATTTCATTGCATGGCTAAGGCACATTTTTCTCCTCCATTTACTGATTGATGGATATTTGGGTTATTTCCACTTTTTGAAGACTGTGAATGTTGTTATTTGCATTGTTCATTTATCTAAAAGATTTAGTGTGGACGTATTTTTGATTGTTTGGGGATATGCCTATTAGAGGAACTGCTGGGTTGTTGGTAATATCATATTAAAGTTTTTGAGGAGTTACCAACAGTTCCATTCAGGATTTATTTGGAATCATGCAGTCTCATCACAACAGCAAGGAGACTCCTTGACTTTGCTGGTATTGAACAAATCTGGCTGCTTTGTCCTTCTATCACGTGTCAAGATAACCTCAGCATCCTGGGCACCAGCCTCTACTAGCCCTGCTCAGCTGTTCCAGTCCATATAATTGGTTGGTAATTTGGGTTCCTGGACATCATTCTTGGAATTACTAGGACTTGAGATTCAGCTTCTTTGTAGTCTTCCCTCCCCAGTCCTTCATCTACAGACTCAAATATTCTATTCTTGTCATAAGCTATTGGCTGGAATCCAGTCTCTGCAGGCCTGGGCACCTGGAATCATGATTTGCATCCTCCTTAGTTCATGGTTCATCTGTGTTTGGAAATTGCCATCAGGTGCTGGATCCATGGACTGCATCCTCTTCTAGAATCACCCTCGCCTGAACCCACCCCATGTTCATTGTTCCCTCATCTCCATGGGACTCTGCAATACTGCACCTCAGCGTACACACCCAAGACCCAGCCTGCTGCTGGTCATGATGCCCCTGCCATGGTCCCACCCACTCAAGGAAGCACCTAAATCACTCTGTGCTCTCTGTTGATGGAAAAACAGAAAATATACCGTACAGGGCTCTCTCCTTTGTGTCTTTCCCATAGAGGTCGTATTTGCTGGCAATGTAGTTGAGAATGGCTCTGGTCTGCACCAGCTTCATCCCATCAATCTCAACCATTGGCACTTGCTGGAACATCAAATACCCATCTTTGGAAAAGAATGAAAAAAGGGAGAGTTAAATATCTATGGAACTCTATCTTTCAGAATGAAAAAATGATTGTGGAAATGACTAAATTTGTAAAATGAAGAAGAAGTTATTGCCTGATAAGATTTCACTTGAAACAACGTTTTTATTTAATTTTTATTTTTTTGAGACCAAGTCTCACTCTGTTGCCCAGGCTAGAGTGGAGTGGCGTGATGTTGGCTCTGTAACCTCTGCCTCCCGTGTTCAAGCAATTCTCCTACCTCAGCCTCCCAACTAGCTGGGATTACAGGTGTGTGCCATCATGCCTGGCTAACTTTTATATTTTGGGTAGATATGGTGTCTCACCATGTTGGCCAAACTAGTCTCGAACTCCTGACCTCAAATGATCCACCTGCCTCAGCCTCCCAAAGTGCTGGGATTACAAGCATGAGCCACCGCACCCGGCCAAACAACAATTTTAAAAAGCTTCCTGTAGTTATTTTTCTTTAGAAGCTTCCTTTTACTTTTTATCCATTTATTTTACTTATGTTTTTATTTTCCCTCCAGACACATAGTAGGACTCTTGTATTTTTTGTGTTGATTTATCTTCTTGGATATTTTAGGGAGACGTTGGGACAAGTTACAGTAGGACTAGCAACAAGATGCCATTTAAAACAGGAAGTTCCTAGAGTAAGTCTCATGGTGTTTGTGACATTTAAGGCAGGTTCTCAGAGGTTTTTTTCTAAGAGTCACTTTCTCTGCTATTCAAAGTCTGCAAAAATGCTACAATGTTACCTTGTCACGCCCCTCCATGAAAGAAAAAAACTCAAGGCAATTGCCACATCTATTTCTCCTCCTTTCATCTAATGCATGTTCTTGCATGTCCTTGGATGGGAAGGGCTGTGTGGATCCCAAGCTGATGACTATAGCTCATTCACTGTGTCCCAAGCATGAAAACAAAGAAAGGGCTTTCTCAGGGCACTGGAGATAGCTCCTCTAGCAATTACTCTAGAGGTCTGGTCCTTTTAGCCTGAAGAGAGTTGCCAGACCTGATCAAGGAGCCATATCCCTTCCATATTAGCCACTTTCTCCCTCTCCACCATGCCCTAATACCACCCCCCCAACCAAACACACACATAGGCATTGCTGGCTGCTCAAACCTCCCTTCTACTAGATACCTTCATCAGAAGCACTTAGAGGCTGATCTTACCATTTCTTAACTTGTCCAATTCTTCTGGAGATTTTATTAATTTCTCTTCAAACTAGAAGCAGAAACCGTAAATGGGTTCTTGTTAGTTCATTGTATTATAGACCGGTGACCTTGAATGGCCCCTATCCGGTGCATCATTTGGAGAATATAAGATTTCTCAGTTTGGCAGGGTACACAGAGGGGGCTGTTCATGGCCATTTGGAAATTTAAACCTGCTTTGTCGAGAAGAATGCATGGGTCACAGAACACAGCTGCTCAATATTCTAGTTCACTTCACCTCCACCTTGATATCACAAAGGTCTATGATTACGTCATGTTTTGAGAGGAGATGTCACTGGAGAAAATGCACTGAGCAGTTCTCCTAGTCATGGTGTTGTCATATCTCAGGAAAGCCTGTGTCTCCAGATGAGATCAGACCACAACCTTGTGTGTCCCCAGCATGGGGTATGCCATGGGCTAATCGCCAACAAAGATTCTGCCACCAAGGAGCCTCTGCTGTAATTTATATCACCCCACTTTTCAGGAACCCTGCTGAGGGTGAACTAGGTTGCAGCTGTTGGACAGCTTTAACACTTGTAACTCTAATTTCCTCCTCTGAAGTGCATGGGACACAATAGGGTAAAATTCTCAATTTAATAAAGGAATTAGAGTCCCACACTACATTATTTTTAATTAAAACCTCTGGTTTCTGATGTGGTATTCTGGGTTCAATATCACCATTTTCTTGTACTGGCTTCTTGACTTTGGACATGTTACCGAATTTCTCTGGGTCTGAGTATGCTAATCTAGGAAATGGGTATACTTACGGTACCTATGGTATAGGTTGATATCAATATTAAATTACAAGGTCACACGAAACACTTAGAAAAGTAGCAGGTATATAGTGACTGCTCATTAAATACAAGTTATCTTTAGAATTTTAAGATAGAGTTGGCTATTTCATCATATAATCCCTTAAAAAATTTAAATCACTCTAATAGTGATGAAACTATACTTCGTTCTTGATCTACATCCAGTAACTTAAACCTTGGAGTAAATTACACCTTGTTCTGGGACAAGTCACTTTCGTGGAAATGGCAGCCAGCAACGAGAATGTCTCAATCTGATCAGAAGATATCAGTGGATGCATGTATTTAATATAAATATGAAAATCAGTTATTACATAATGATGTAGTTGACTTAAATAGGCAGAATCCAGCAAACAAAAAGTCTAATCAAAGGTTATTAAGACTTTCTGGATTTCAATGTTGTTATGATCTGGTTCCAGTCTTGACTCTGCCTCAAAATATCTGTGTGATCTAGGAATTATCACTTAAAAATCTTTAAGCCTTAGATTGCCTATCTGCAAAATGGGAATAGAATATTTTCTTAAATGGAATATTCCAATGTTTCAAAATGCATGATACAGGGCCTGACCCATATATATAAAGTAATAAATAGTAGTGGTGTTTGCAGTGGGTGATTATACTTTAATGGAGTTCTTTATGATGAAAGGTCAGGAATTTGGAAGTTTCTAGCTTGCTCCATGGAACAGAGTTTGTTGTGGATCTATGCTCACACTGGACCAGGATCTAGGGACCATGGGAGGTGTGTGCCAGAAATTAATACAGCATCCAGTTCAGCACAAACCTAAGGAACGGTGGGTGGTCCTGGCAGGGGGGTGGCTGAGGTGAGGTGGGGCTGGCAAGTGGGATGTGCTTGTGAGGCTGAGGACTGGGTTGTGATCATCAGCCTTAGGGCACTGAGACCCCAGAAGCCTCAGCAAGGTGTGCAGTCAGCCCTGCCCCTGCCTTCAGTCAGGCTGGATGGAGAGCAGGGTCCTGGGTTGCTCCCAGCCCAGCCCCTCCCTCCCTCCTGCTGAACCCTTCCTGCCCAGGCTCTGAACGCATCCCTGAGCCGCAGAGCTGACGTCTGGGTGACAGTGAGACAGGGTATTCATTTGCACAAAGAAAACAACCTGGAATGGCAGTGTGTGGATTTCTTGTGTGCTTGTTTCTTCATAGGTTTGTGAAAGGTGAGGCTAAAGTCTCAAGCCCTCGTGAAACAATGGAGAAAGTGCCATCCCAAGGCTCAGGTCCACACGGCGCTGGGAGGCTGAAGGGGAGCACTAGAAGTTCCCTTCACAGGGCGCCGCCTCACCTGAAACCCTTCTTTTCTGCCGCCACCCGAGGGACAATATCTTCTGAGTCTCTCCATGACTCAGGAAAACCCTCAGACAGTGACTAAGGGGCTCTGGTCTGCACTGGAACGTGTTTTTCTCAATGACACCTCTAGAGGGCAGCACTCAGTGAAGTCCAAAAGACACCTCCCAGCATTTCCTGCTCAGACACTGCGAGGATGGCCTGGTAACGCTGGGGATTGCTTGGGTGTGCTGTAGAAGCCTCCACCCCTCATTTTAACCACGTGTTTACTTGTCTGCATCCTCATAGACTTGTAGGCTGCCCCAGGGCAGGTGCTGTGTCTGTCTTGTTCACTGTCTATCTCCATGACCTAGTACAGAACCTGGAATTAATAAGTGCTCAACCAAATAATTGCTGCGAATGTAGTCAGTCTTTAAGAGGTGGTTCCTTACAATCCACTCTCTTCTGCCTCTCATTTGTAGTTTGCATTTTTACCTCTAATTACAACCATTTTTAATATTATGCATTTTTATTGTTTTATTGTGGAAATTATGAACAGGAATAAAAGTAAACCAAAAAACATAATGATTCTACTTATACGTCTCACCTAGAATCAATAATTATTAACCAAAAGCAATGTAGGTTTACTTCTCCTCTTGTAATAATTTCAAGGAAATCCCAAATCCATATGATTAATCCTTAATTACTTCCATGGGTTTTCCTAAAACATATTAACTATTCTGAAGGTGGCCATAGTACATTATCACACATGCAATATTAACAATAATTCTTTCATGTCATCAAATATTCAATCAACATTCATGTTTCTAAATGTTGTATAAATGCCATAAATTACTTTTTACAGTTTGTTTAAATTCTAATCCACTTAAGTTCCACACTTTGTGATTAGTTTCTTAAATGTATTTTAATATTAGGCTCTTAGATGAGAAGAAGTTTTAACAATTATTAGGTCAAATCTGTTCATCTTTTTCTTAATGACAGTCCATTTGTATTTAAGCCACAATGCTTCAGTAAGTAATCATCTCATAGTTTCTGTGGGAGAAGTATGTGATAATGTGCTTTTAAATCCAACTTCAGATGACCTAATTCAGAACCTACCTCTACTCCAGCTGCGGCCAGGAGCCACCGAATGGTCTCCATTCTGCCCCGTGCATTGAAGTAGTGGAGCTTGGGCTTCTCCGCCATGATAGCAGTCTCCTGGAGGTTTCTCTAAGCCTGCACGAATCAATGAATGAATGAATAAATGAATAATGGAAACCATAGGATCAAAAATGTGCTTTAGGATGTATGGTTGAGAACCACCAACAATGCTGACGAAGCATCTGCCTTCTTCATGACTGGGGTGGAGGAGTTCCTGGAATGTTTTCTTGGCCCAATTTGTTACCCATCAGTGGCCACCCTCAGATTCCAGCAAACCCCAGTCTCATATGCCCATTGATTAAATGTGACCATTCTCACCATGCTAAGAGGTGAGAGTATGTGGCAATAATACATGTATAGAAGTTAATGGGAAGAGAAAGAATTCAATAACTAATATTTATTGAAAGCTTCCTAATGATCCTTCCTCAATGCTAGTCCCTTTCAATATTTCATATCTTTAACCCTTCTCGTAGTCCCATGAAATGGTGGTTATCTCCATTTTTTAGTTAATGAAATAGAACATCAGAGAAATGTAGTGTTCACAGTCACATTCCAGTTGGTGATGGACATGAATATCTATACCCAGGAATAAGATGAAAGCACACCCAGAAGCCACCCAGGTGAAGGCCCTGGGAACCCATGAACTGGCCATGAAACCAGAGGATGTCACTGACAGGGAGGACCAGGAGAGAGCTAAGGCACTCTTCAGCTCTTTGGCAGTGAGACTGCATTGAATCAAAAGCAGGAATTAGGCCTCAGACTTGTTTCATTGTAGCTGATGATCCAAATTCTTTCAACAGACTAGAATGCGAGTCCCTTGCTTCTTTTGGCATTCTGTATTCTAACTCTGTGGGGTGCATTTTGTTTTATAACCTGGAAAAAGAGGTGTTGCTGCATTAACTTTGCAAGATATGGAAGGTACTAGCATTTGTTCAATGTCAGTCACACACTGGTCATTCTTCTAAACTTCTCTACATTTTATCCTACAAAAATCACCTAAGAGGAATGCGGTTGTGATTCTCATTTTACAGTTGGAGATCCCGAGGTTTTTAAAGTAAGTTGCTCAGAGTAAGTAGTGGATCTGGGATTCAGACTGCTCTTAAAAACCAAATACTGAGTCTTATTTTCTTTGCTAGTGTTTCTCAAATATGCATGGTAATCTTACAGCAGATTGTGAAATCCCACTACTTTAAAAAATAAAATACAAAAGAATAGCAAATAGTGAGCATGACATGTTGAAGGAGAAGTAATGTTTCATGAGTTTTTAGTTTCAGGTATTTGTATGTTGTGTGTATGGTGGTTTGCATGTGTGCACGCTCACTCAGTCACTAAATGCTTAGAGATCAGTGTTTTGAGGCTCATCAGTGAAGTTGGATAGCCCTTTGTTCTATCCCAGGCTGCTTGGGAGGTGGAACACAGCAGTGTCAGAGAATGGAAACCAGGGGCTGCAGGGACGGAGGCAACTAATTGTATCAAGAACGTGAATGGAAACACAGAGGATTCATTGAAAGCAGGAGTTCCAGTGCCAGGACTTAGGAACAGTTGCATTTTCTCTCCAGATGTGCAGCTCTATTATTAAACATTAAGATTATTTTTTGCAACATTTTATGGTTGTTGAGTTTGGAAAAAAAAATGAACTTGCCTTTAACAACCAATATATTTCTTTTTTTTTTTTTTTTTAGATGGAGTTTTGCTCTTTTTGCCCAGGCTGGAGTGCAATGGTGTGACCTCAGCTCACTGCAACCTCAGCCTCCCAGGTTCAAGTAACTCTGCCTCAGCCTCCCAAGTAGCTGGGATTACAGGCACATGCCACCACACCCGGCTAATTTTGTATTTTTTGTAGAGACAGGGTTTCAGCATGTTGGCCAGGCTCGTCTGGAACACTTGACCTCAGGTGATCCACTTTCCTCAGCCTCCCAAAACGCTGGGATTACAGGCGTGAGCCACTGCACCTGGCCTCAACTAATTTCTTAAAAAGCATGTATGACTTAAATTTAGACATCAAAATCTTTTAAAAGTCTACATTTTAAAATATGGAAGTCAGTAGTTTGACCTTTGGAAAGTAAAGAATTCTTTGAAATTGTACTGAATCAGCTCACTTGTTTTGCAATTTGCTATTTTGACATTGTACTTTCCTAACTTGGGAAATGGAGGTAGCATGATTCAGCAGAATAAAAGAGAGAGTTTAGCTCACACAGGGAGTGGGGTGTGCTTGTTTAACTGTTTTGGACTAGAGCTCACAGTGTCGTAATTCTAATCCCCACACTAAGCTCCCTTAGTTATTGACTGAGGATCAGGTTTCAAAAGGAAATAAATGTTTATCTTGCGTAACATTTTATCACAACACTCCTGCTAATAACTCCCATTTTACCTTCTCAATATGAGGGTTCCCACAGGTCATGCTAAGACTTGGGCAAAGGTTACCATTGAGCTTTGTTGGGTAAACAGAAAATGAGAACTGGAGAGCTCAAGGATTTGCCATTGGTCGTACAAACATGCTTCTCATTCATGGTCAGTATCTAGGGAGTGTGTCTACCTTCTGCAACAACCCTGGAAAATGTCTTCTAATATCCAGATTAAAGATGGGCACACTGAGGTTCAGAGAGCTGCAGCACGTGTCCCACACCGCACACTTGGTGAGTGATGGATCAGCCTGAACTCCTTCTGATTGCAGGTCCAGAGCTTTTCCACTCAAGCCTGTAAGCTGGTCTGCTCCTGTCTGAGAAGCTGTTTTACATTTTCCTGTCTAGAGTCCATTAGCCGACTAAATATTGAAAGGCGAGGGCGAGAGAGGAACATCTAATTCCTGAGTTCTTTCTGTTAGCAACTTTATAGGAGCTTGCTTGGAAGAAAAAATTAATAAAAGTGTGCCTTTCTCTACTTTGACAACGTAAACACCAGAGTGAGCTGAGGACTAGTATAACTGTATTTCCATCCATTTAAAAAAAATGGGCTTGTTTTGAAAAGAATATAAGCTATGATAATTCCAGGAGGAAATTAAAGGAGTTATATCTCTGAGGTGATCCCAATTACTCTGTTTCTTATCAAAGAGAAGGGAGAATGAGATAAACCATGACTCTTTCCATTATGAGGTACATAAACGCAGTAGGTTGTTTAATCTCTGAGCGTCAATTTTCTCTTCTTAGAATAAAGATAGTTATTTCTACTTTTGAGGGTTGTTGAGAAAGTTAAATGAGCTAATGTACAAAAAATTCATAGTAGGAGCTCAGCAATGGGTGTTGGCTCTTGTCCCAGAGCTTGGCAGATGGGTGAGTCTCTGGACAGTGAGGAGCACATGAAACCTCTTTCTTTGATCTATCTATCCATCAATTATTTTACCTATGAACAATCTCTGTATGTGTATCTATTTATAATCTTTTTCTACTCATCCAAGTATGTATTATTTTATCTATCACTCTGTGTATCTGTCTATAATCTGTCTGCCTCTTCATCATCTATTATCTATCTTGTATCCATCTCTCTAGTTCTTTATATTTTGTCCATAGAACTCTAGTAGAAATAAGATTTTATATGAATCCAGACTTGTATTAAACCTGTCATATGATGGCTCTCTGTCTCTTTCTCTCTCTCTTTGCTTTTTAGCTCTTGTACAGAGCTTAATGATATTCACTAATCAGTCCACCTGGATTAACAAGAAATTTTCAGTGACTTTCCAAGCAGTGTGGCACATCGGTAACACAGCCTTGCTGAGCCCCATGAAGTCATGTAGGGAGAGGGGGGGCTACAAATCAGATAGGTAGAGGCCAGAGATGCCTAGAAACTTCCTAGGGTGGGCAGGACATCTCTCCATTCAAAGAATTACACAGTTCAAAGGGCATCAACAGTCAGAGACTCTTTCTTAGCTATTCTCTAATTTGCCGTGAGTTGGTAGAACTCCAGCCATGACTGGTTGTCGAGCTAATTAGTGGCAAAGTCTTAATTAGAATCTAGTTCTCCTGACATTCAAACTAATTTATTCTAATTATAATAAACCTTAGTTCTGAATTTTCACAGGCAATATAATATTACAGTATCACAATTTATAACAATTGTGTGTTGACTACTTCTACAGAGAAATAAATTTTCACATACATTGCCACTTCTTCAGGCACTGATTATTCTCAGATTGTTTAAAATACTACCATTTCTTTTTTCTTCTCATGTCATTGTTTCCCATACCATTAAATTCTGAGGCCCTGGTTTTCCAAATTCTTCATTTTTACATTTCTCTAAAGATGTATCCAACAGAAAAGAAATAAACAATTCTTGAGCTATCACCAAAACACACCAAGATGGCATGATATGAATAAAAACAGAATTTTTCTTGTGCTAAGAACACATATTAGCATATTTTTCTAGGAGGCTAGAGAGGAGGGTGTGAGGCAACGCAGGGAGATTTGTAAGACCAGTACTTACTTTGTTAAACGCTGTCCGCCCTTGTGGCTTGGCTCGAGAACTGAATTCCAGGTCCTAATGTATTTATAAGCTCATTGTTCCTTTCAGTAGTTCCCTCCCACTGAAAGGAGAAGGGTCAAATTAAGGAAAAGCCAGTCCTACACACATTACAGGGCCAAAGGGCCACCTACTGGATTCTAAGACATGAGGCAAGTGATCCGCTTATCAGAGCATAACTGGTTAATATGTTCCTTTTCAAGGCTGCAATTAAAGTATAAACAATACATTTCACCTGGATTTTGCTGTCTTTGCAAGTCAGCAGAAACTGGCTTTTTAAATGTTTTTTATCATGAGTTGGATGCAAGGATTAGGGCAACTGAAAAACCTCTAGTGAGCATAGCTGGGAGGGGATGTCTTTGAAGGGCAAGCTGATGGCAATCTTCTTACTGGGTTGCCAAATAAACTACACGATATCCACATAAATGTGAATTTCAGGCAAGCAATAATTTTTTAGTGATAACTATGTTCTAAACATGGTATAAAACATGATTATACTGAAATATTATTTCTTGTTTATCTGAAATTCATATTTAGATGGGTGTCCTGTATTTTATCTGCCAAATTCGGAAACCCTATTTGCATAAGCTTTCCTCTCTGCGTCACTCAAATTGCCTGTAATATAAGAAATCTGAAAGTACCCATCACCCGGATTCATCAGTTGCAAATCATCTTTCTTCATCTATACCACGTAGGGGGTTATGTCGGCCCCCAAGAAAGATGGGCCCATATGGAAATCCCTAGATCCTGTGAGTGTGGTCTTATTTGGAAAAAGGCTCTTTGCAGAGTAGATGTTATGAAGTAAGAGAACTTGAGATTGTCTTGGAATATCTGGATAGGCTCTGAATCCAATGACAATTGTCCTCACAGCAGAGAAAAGACACAACACACAGAGAATGAGGTGCTGGAAGACAGAAGCAGAAATCAGAGTGATATGGCCACGATCCAGGAAAACCCAGAAATGCCAACAGACCCCCAGAAGCTAGAAGACGCAGGGAAGGATTCCTGGAAATCACTCATAATCCAAGCACTGTGGCACATTGACACACCAGGGAAAAATGATTTTGCATTTAGTTACTTGTATGTGATTCACAGATACCATCTGCGTCTTGGCAGCCCAGGCCTGAGTGGCACTGAGGGAACTGAGGGAAGGCTCATGCCCGGGGCCCCACAGAGCCTTAAGGAGCAGAGTGAGGATGAGCCAGGAGCACACACACTGTGAGGGACAGCAGGGTGGCCTGAGAGCAGAGGGTGGGTCTGCTTGCTCCTCAGTGTTTCTGACACAGTGAAAATGTGTCAGAAAGAATGCTTTTATCAGAAATAAACTGACTGTCCAGGAAAAGAAAAAAATGTCTTTAAGCCATTTCCCAGAATGGTAACTCTTTTCTTGTGCAGAAAGTCAGAAGTAAATTTCTACAACTTTTTTTTTTTTTAATTTCTACACTTGTATGACAAGTGTTACAGGACAATTCTTGAAAAAGTCAAACAAACTACGTAATCTACATTTTGCTTTTTTACTAAATTTTTAATTCCAAGAAAATTAAAAATTTTGGAAGATTGGAAATCTGATTTCATATCAGTTCCTAGCGAAAATAAATCATTTTTAACTAAATCTGGTCATACATATTTTACTATGTAATTAGCATATAATTTTAAAAAGGTTTATTCACTTCACAATAGCCACAATCAACATTTAGATAGAACAATTTAGTGTTACAAAACTTGAAAATATTGGTCTTGCATGTTCTTGGTATCCGTGCCTGCTTTATCAAACCTTGAAAATCTTCCTTGCTTTTCTAAACCTTTTCATCTATGGGAGACTTCCTCGGGCTGCCAGGCTGCAGAAACTTCTTCACTGAGGGCAGTTTGCTGATTCTGGTTTTCAGGGCCTGCAGTGCACAAAGCACAGTTTCAGGGTGAAGCCAAGGGCTGACACCACCGTTAACAGTACCCAGGGAATCTGAGCCCCTCCTACACAAAGACCAACTGAGTCCCCTCTGTCAGCACCAGCATGGAGGCAGAAACAGACACCAAGTGACAAATGAAGAGAAGAGCAAGAACATGTAGCTCGCTAGCATTTTCCCAAACAGTGTCTTTAAGACTTTATTCAGTTCAGTCTTCCTACCCTCTTTCTTACACATTAATCTGCAGGTTCATGGCTCTTGTACAAGACAAGAAAGAACAATGAGGCTGTGGATATCAGCACAGATCAGTCTCTAAGCAGAAGTGAAGATATGGGAAAACTGCATTAGAAATGAAAATCAGAAGTATTAAAGACAAAGAACGGGGCCACTTTTCCCCATAGAGAGATACAGGGTTGGGGTGGTGTGTTGAGAGAGCTGTGCAGAGAGGAACATAATTATCTGACAGCAGGAGCCAGAGACCTAGGAAGGAACTGGATGGAAAGAGCCCCGCTCAGACACACTTGGTGTGGGAAGAGATGGGCATATTGGAATAAAGGACATCACAGCGACCTCAGGAACAGAAAGCACAGTGAAATAGATGGATGAGGAGACATGCTGGGCCCTGGGCCCCTGGCATTATAAAAGGCAAAATATTCTTCTTGGGGTAGCATGCACATTGAATTTCCTTGGCATGACAAGAAGGCATTTCCATGACTCAGAATCAGGAACTGGAAGCTCATTTTGGACACCTGGGGGACACTGAAGACCTGGAGAAGGCTAGAGCCAGAATGGGACAAGTCCAAGGGCCCAGATACTAGATCCCAAGATGGGAGATAAGGGGCTGCCTCTTGAGGACTGGGAAATAGTTCATCTTCAGCCCAGGGAAGTTGGAGATGAGGCTGGGATCAAGCTTTTCCACATGGTATAGAAGTTCTACCAGGTGAATGTCAGCCCGGCTCAGCTTATTGCCAATGAGGTAGTCTTGTCCATGGCTCTTTAACACCTGGAGAATTCAAGGAATCAGATCAGGAACACATGTGCAGTCAGGCTGGGGCCCCTGCTTCTCCCTGAGTTTGTCCAGCCAGTCTCTCCCTCTCCCACCTCTGCTGCCTCACTGGGCAGGTGCGAAGATCCAGACCTTTCTGCCTGTTCCCTGATTCAGTGAGAGAGTGAGAAGTGTGGCTCTGCTCACCCCTTGGTTGGAGCCCAGGCTCCTATTTTCTCTTCTCATTCCACATCACTGTGGCATCCACACCATCCACCCAGCTTGCGTCTTCCGCATGGGCCAGGGGCTTCTCCCCTGCTGCCGCATGTTCTGTCTGCCCCAGGCCCTACCGTGTGCAGCCCTGGCGTTCAGTGGTTCTACACTCTACATCTCTCTCCAGTCTCGCTTGGGCAGCAGCTACACCTTCCTGACAGCAGTCTTCCCCCAGGAGTGGACTATTTCAGAATCCTCATTTCTCCTCGTCTGCTCTCCTCGTTTCCTGCTCTGGGATCTAAAATAAACCTGGGTGAACTTGAATTCATCCTCTTTCTTGCAATGTTGGTTCTCACTGCTTTCACTATGTTATAACCTGCATGCCACTGTGTCCCGGGGTGAACTGCAAAGATGTCTGCAACTTACTTTGAAATGCAAAAAAAAAATAATAATAATAATAATAATGTGTTTGGTTGTGGCAGACAGGGGTGGCGTGACTGACATGTGATAAAGCAAAGAGAAAATATTAATTTTGCTCTTTAGATCCTTGGTGTATATATGTTCATAAAACATTTATTTGAACTACACTGGATGCATAATTTTTTCATAATAAAATTTTTGAGTGACGTGCTAGTTATTAAAATATCTCAGTATATTAACATCATAAATAATAAAAACAGAAAACATATGGCTCCATTGATTTAAGATAATATTTTGGCAAATATACTTTCATACTATGTATACATACGGAAGTATGGATAATTACTTGGTACACAAAACACAACTTCAATGTTATATTACAATATACATTGTTCAGATCCACATATCTTGGGCTCTTTGGTAGAGGCAGAATTCTGATTCACAGTATATTTTTATATCACACCTTGAGAGTCAGATGCTGCATTACCATCAAGGAAGGCTTTTTGAAGTGAGGGTCAATGCCCCACAAATGCACAGGCACCATTTTTCTGTTGCCTTATGTCATGGACTGAATGCTTATCATTCCCAAAAATTCATATGTTGAGATTCTGACCCCCAATGTGATGCAATTAGTAGGTGAGGCCTTCAGGAGATGATTAAATCATGGGAGCTCTCTTGAATGACATTTGTCCCCTTATAAAAGGGACCTTAGAGAGCTCCCTCGGCTTGTTTGCCATGTGAGGACACAGCTGGAGATTGGCTGTCTGTGAACCAAGGAACAGGTGCTCCCCAGATACTGAATCTGCTGGCACACTGATCTTGTACTTCCCAGCCTACAGAGCTGTGAGATATAAGCATCTATTCTTCAAGCTACCCAGTCTATGGGATTTTTGTAAAAGCAGCCAAACTGCTAAGAAACCCTCTAAACTCTTAGTGCTTAAAGACTGAACAGCTTCTATCATGACCTTTACAACAGTCAGTCAAACACACCAGCATTTGGTCAATAGCTGCCAGCTTCCCGAATTTTTTCCTCCACTTTCAATTTATGACCAACCACAGAAAGCAACATATGGATCGCTGACCAGTCACGTAGAAATCTGTGCTTCTAGTCAGCCAGCTTACAGCATCCCTAGGCCAGCAACCTACAATCAGAATGTAACTACTTCTACCATAAATCTCCCAGACTTCCCTGCCTGCCTCTGAATCTCTGGCAAAGGCCAGTGATGGTGGCTGACTTCCTTTCTATAGCAAGCTCTGTGTAAACACATTTTGCTTATTCTCATTTGGGTTGTCTTCACTTCCACAGTTTTTCTGCAGGTTCCAACAAGACCTGGTCTATGTTGCGCATTGCCATGGACCCCAGCCGTCAACCAGGGGCAGTCCCACAAAGGCTGCTTGTGCCTTGTGGCAAGTCAGCACCTGCGCTGAACTCTTTCCTCTTTGCATTGAGCTCTTTGACTTTTTATGGTCAGTTTGGTTCTTGGTTTTGGTATCGGTTCTCATCTGCTTGGTGTCCTTTGTAGAATCAGGACTTTGTTTTCCATTTCTTTTGTAGTCTTTTGTGTTACCGTTTTTTTGTCATGTGATCTAAAGGTGTTGTCTGTCATAAAAGAGGCAGCACAAGAACATAG